AAATTTGTTCATAGCCTTTTATTCTATAGTATAACTACACATTTTAATTACAATAGTTAAAATTGAAATACTGAAAGATATATTTTTCCCATCTTTGACAGAATAATTGTATCTCGGAATAACTGGAGCAGCTGGGTTCAACTAGCATGGTAAATAAAATTAAGTCTTTGGTATAAAAGAAAAAAGGTCCAAGCTGGGCACCAGTGGCTCATGCCTGTAATCCTAGCTACTCAGGAGGCTGATATCTGAGGATGGTAGTTCAAAACCAGCCCAGGCAGGAAAGTCCATGAGAATCAGAAGTGGCTCTGTGGCTCAAGTGGTAGAGAACTTACCTTGAGCTGAAGAACACAGGGATAGTGCCCAGGTTCAGAGTTCAAGCCCCAAGGTCCAGAAAGAGTCATAATATGTATATTGACAACATACTCTTTGAAAATCTCTGAGTATAAAATATCAGATATTTCTGTGTTAGATGATAGAATCTTTATTTTTATACAAAATGATAGCATGCAGAATAGTATACACTTGGAATTTCAGTAAAAGGTTGTTGATAATGACTTCAGTAAATTTCCAGTCCACATTGACTTTGGTCTACTGTGACCACAGGTTTATCTAACCAATTAATTTTCTCAGTTCCTGTATTTGCTCTGGAATGCCTGGTGTCTTTGTCATCATCTTAAGGATTATTTCATCAGCCTTCTCATTGTCCTGCTTCTTTCTTCTCTTGCGTGTTTATGGAGAATGTTCCCCAGAGAAGCCAAAGAATCTCTATGGAATTTAGGTCAAATATCATTCTTTTATCCCAAATCTCTCAGATTCTTTATCTTCAGAATAATATTCAAAGGCTTGACCATGGGCTACCAAATCCCCAGCTGTAAATAGTATCATTCCATTAGAGTTTTTCTATTCTCATATCTTGCTTGAGCTATGGTACCAATTTTGTTATCATCTTAAAAAACCTGTTACATTTCAACCTGTTTCCACTTCCAACAAGCTACCAATCATGGTCTATACATTTCTAATTCCCTAATGTTGGAATAATTCCTACAATTCACTCTATGACTTCTTTCCTCACATCATTTAATTCTCCACTCAAATAGTACCTTGTGATTAATTTACCTGGTGATCCTTTTTTTCCTTTATCTTGCTCTATACACTTCTCAGATTGCTTTAGTTAACATCTGATATATGAGGCCAGAAATATTATGACCTTTAATAATTGGTCACTAAAAACATATTTTCTAAATTAGTGAAGGAATGAAAAATAAAGGAATAAACCCTCCCCTTCTCAGTTATTTTCAAAAGATGCACAGTAATATGGAAGCACAATATCAATTTCATATCCTTAAGAAAAATCAATAGAGCCATTAGGTTCCAATTATGAATATAGCCACAAAATGAAATCTGCATGAGAGTCTCTTCTCCCTATCGATTACCCCACAGCTCATAGCCCTTTAACTCCCTACCATACAAAATGCTCATAGACAATTTCATGAATGTTAGCATTAATTTGGACTTTATCTATACTTCCATATGGCATTTGGAGTGTCTTCGTTGTGGCTTGTCCTACCTTATTCACTCCTGGGTAACAGAATCATGTCCCTTTAACTTTATGGTGAAATATCTGATGCCAAGCCACATTTGTACCATATGGTACAAAAGCCTTTTCATGATGAATTAAAGTTTTATTTCAGCTTATTATGCCTGGGTTTTCAGGCAATGTTCTGGATTTCATGCTTTTGTTTGTAATGAGTCATGGCCCCCTTGACAAACAAGAGAGTAATTAAACTAACCAGGTTATCAATAGAAGCTTGTGATGGATCTTCTGTTGCATATGGTTATTTCATCTTCAATAATGGTTGCATATCATAAAAGATTACAGCTTGTTAGTGTGACAGGGAAAGGGAGATGGAAGCCTGTAATAACAATAGTGAAGCTACAATCTTATTTGTGCCTCTTGTAAGCTAAATAGTGTTATAACAACAGAAATGAGTGAGATTTTATTTATGGGTCTCTTTTGTATGGTTTAGATGTTTCTATGAGGCGATGAGCATGAAATTTTGCTTAACTGGAAGTTAAAGATCATTAAATGAACCCTTACATTGTGTATGTGTGTATTTGAATATAGAGAAGTATATATGTATATGTATACTATTTAATTTTATTTCTCATTCAAACATTTTAGTAGACATTCTTTTTAGTAAACATTCTTTTTACTATATTATTAGCAAGTACTTTGATAAAAATACGACTATGCTGCTTTTTAGACCCATAAATTAGAAAAGAATACCACATAAAAATTCAGTTACTATAACTTCACCAATGAGATGTACAAGATGTTATGTCAAAAATAAACTTTACAACTTTGGCATGGGGGGGGGGATGAGAGGGGGAGGATGGGAAGGAATGGGAGGGGGAAACAAAGAAGGAGGCAACAATGCTTGATAAGAATGTGCTCATTACTTTGTCCATGTAATTGTAACCCCTCTGTATGGTATTTTCACAATAAAAAAATCAGTTAATATAACTTCAAAGTGATGAATTTACTATGGTCTTTATGTAAAAAGAAAAACAATGTTCTGCTCTGGAAGTGTTTATAGTTTTGTATTTACTATATATTAAAAATATTAAATATTAAACCTTGTACTTTTTTATTGCTTTCCACACAAATCTCAACTGCACCTAGAGCAGACTTTTACTCAACGCTTATTTCTGAATTACATCCTATCTTTATCTTTAAGTTTCCAGTTGTATCGAACTCTCATGGTGTTCTTTAAAATATATACTATATGTGTATATATATATATATGTATAATATAGATAGATATAGATATAGGTATATCTATAGATATGGGGAGGAGAGACTCTAGACATTCACACATTGAAGCCAAAGGAGACTATGTAAGGAATGGTTGACAAGGGCTCAACACCAATGCACATATGATCATATAAAATAATGTGTTATGAAAATAGCTCTAAGAAAAGGAAAGGAGAGAAATTTTAATTGACATTGTTGCTGATTTTTGTTTTCATTTCCTTTTTTCTTCCTTGTTTGTATTTGGGAGGCAAGGGGAGACACAGAAAATGTGGAACAAGGGAGAACAAATACAACAATGATTCTCACTAAACACTATGTAGAAAATGAGCTGTACTTCTTGTGAGTGTGGACAGGAGGGACAACTGGACGAAAGTGAGGGCAGCGGAGACATGGTTCAAAAAGAATTGTAATCATTACTTATTACCAGATTTGTGTAACTGTAATTCCTCTGTATATCAATTCTATATCAATAAATAAAATATATAGGATGTAAAAATCTTGATAGAAAAGGAAATATTTAGGAAAGTGTTAGGCATCCAATTCTGAACATTCTCTCCAAAATTGTTATTTTTTCCTATTTTCCCATCTCAGAAAAAAAGATATTCTGACTAACTTCCAAGTTACTTAAGTCTACTAAAGCCTCCTTTACCTGTTCCTTTTTAGATGCTACTTATTTTTTTATTAAAAAGTCTGATTAGTAGTGTGGTAGACAGGTGTAATAGTACATACCTGTAATCCTAGTTATTAAGAAGGCAAAAACAGAAGGATCATACCATCCTGAGGATATGTTGATAGGAGAACCTATGCAAAAACAAACTAAAGCAAAACAACTGGAGTGTAGGTTGAGTAATAGAGTTCTTACTTTGCAAGCGGAAGGCCCTGAGTTCAAGTTCAAGTACTGGAATGAAAGAGCAGGCAGGAGTCACACACAGAGAGAAAGAATACCTGAGGGCCTAACTCAAGTAAGGCAAATGCTCTATCTCAAAGCCACAGTCCCAGTCCCATTTATTGCCTCCTCTTTAATTTTAACTAGGCATTCTCCATATTCATTATTTAGCGGCTGGTTCCTCATGTCTCGACTCACCTGGAACATATGCCTAATTGTGTCCAGAATTTGACCTTGTAATGTCTTGAGAAATAAATACTTGGCACATATCAAAGGCTCTATTATTTGCTGAATAAGAGAATGGGTATGTCACTACCAAAAAAAAAAGCTTCAAAACTCTAGCACTCTAGGTTAGGCACCTGTGATCTGATCTGTGAATCTGAAAATACTATTAGTAATTTTACCTTGCCATCAAAGAGCTCAGTAGGAAGTTTGTCACAGCCATATATAATCCCAATACAAGGGAGAAATTGTATGGCTTGAGTGACTTAGATACACTGCTAAGAGAAGGCAAAGCTATTGCTGGTTAGACTCATGGTGAAGAATAGAGAGATGGGGCACCTAGGATGGGCACTCAATCTGTGAAAATGGAGAGCAGACTTCAGGTAGACCAACCCACATTAGAAACTACACTACACTGATAATATCAGGAAAAGGCAGTGGGAAACAGAATTGTGAAAAGGACCTAGGCTGTGTCAACACAGTTGACTTCAAATACAAATCCTTCTACATAGACACACATTACACACACTTACACACATACATATTTGTGTGTATATATATATATATGTGTATATATGTACATGTATATGTGTATTTCTTTAAGAATTGTGTGACTTTAAGAATTATTTTAATTGTGACCTTCAATTTTCACATCACTGTTATGTTCCAGCATTACTGTGAGGAAACCAAGACCATAAAACACCTAGCTTGGTGACTAGTTCCCAGTGATCACTCAATAAATGAGAGCTATTATTGGAGTATAGTTTGACTGGAGTACAGATGAAGTGTTCCTTTCACCAGGCTATTCTTTTCCAATAGGAAGCAAGGCCAAAATGTATTGCATTTACTCTGTACTCCCTGAGAACATTCATCTATTGTCCAACTTGAAAAATAAAGCTGAAAATGACTAGCCTTGCGTTGGGAGCATAAACTACTGAAAATGTGATGCATTGGTCTATCAGACATAAATTGTTTTGAATATAGAAAGAATAAAAAAGTTATATATATATGCGTTATATTTCTGCTGAAGATTATTTTTCTTTACCCACCAGGTTTTCTGTTTTGTTTCTTTTTCAGTTGCTCCTACAATTCAGGAAATTAAATCTGGCACGGTGACCCCGGGACGTAGTGGATTGATAAGATGTGAAGGTGCAGGTGTGCCGCCTCCGGCCTTCGAATGGTACAAAGGAGAGAAGAAGTAAGGACTTTGTGATCGTTACTGTGTTTCAAGCACTTCAAGCTAATGTGTTTGTGTTTCAGATACTTACTTTAAGCCATTTTGGAAGGGAAAAAAACTGCCTTGAATGATTCTCAGTAGCCTCCTTACAAGCAGGCCTTCAAAAGGGGCCCAAGTGGGCAGCTGAATAGCTAATAGCATCCCCAAGAAATGTCCACATTGGTTTCTATAATCTCAGAAATGCCTGCAAATCCTCCATTGCCGATCCCTTTCATTTCTTTCTCTCTCTCTTCTGAACTGGCACACCGAAGTCTCTCCCTAGCAATCACGTTTACTTGGGAGGTAAACCCACCTCTAAAGGACGGGCACACAGTTTCCAGGAGAGCACTTCAAAAGCAGGAGGCACTGCTGTCTCTGTCTGGCTTCCTTAATGAGCCTCAATCCTCATCACCTGCCTTGCTCGCCTACAAGATACTTTTTCTTGTTTTATAGGACACTGTGTTTGAGCTACTCTGTCACTAGAGAGCCTGTAAAGGAGTTAAAATACATAAGCTAAAGGACTAACCAAGAGGATTTTAGGGCTACTCTCACATCATCTCTGTGCTATTGTGTCCTTGAGATGCCCCAAAGGTCTTGGCAAGAGCTATTGAACAAGGGAAGACAGAGACAGATCATTTTCTCTCATACCTTCAGCCACTCGGCTCATTTAAGCCTCTTCATTCTGCACTTACACAGCCACCAGAGAAGCACTGGAACTCTGTCAGTTAACTGGAAGATGTAATGCAGAGTGGGGAGATACTATGAAATATTTTGTAAATTTTGCTTCAAAATAGGGAAGAACATGGTCAAGAATATGTTAGGTTGAACCATATGAGACTACCAATTTTAAGTCCCAAAAGGTAATATTGATGATCCCATACCACTCAATATATGTGTATGAGTCTCACATTCTTGGATCATGACTTATAACTAATCTCTGCAAAATATCTGAACAGAAAACTATTAAAGTGACACAAAGAATTTAAATACTGCCACTGTGGATGAAAATGGATGTGAGACGAGCAGACCTTTTCCTGTGAAATTGGAATTAAAGGTGATTTGTGGAAGATAGTTCCTTTTAATACAATCTGTCACAATTTCGATGGTTCCATTTATAATTCTCATATTTTTGTTAACTTTTATGGATGCTTAACTGGCACCTTTGTGGTGTTGTGGAAGAGCCACTATTCTTAACTTCTGACACCTAGATTAATTGTTATCTAGTTTCCCTCATTCCATTTTACAAAACAGTATAGATGCCAATATAGACTTTCTTGGATTCCCAAAACCAAGTTGGTAAAATTTTATTTATGATTACCTATATTAAAAAACACCAAGGGCTGGGAAGGTGGTTCAGTGGTAGAGCACTTGCCTTGCATGCCAGAGGCCCTGGGTTCGATTCCTTAGCACCACATAAGCCAAAAGAAAAAAGCCAGAAGTGGCGCTGTGGCTCAAGTGGTAGAGCGCTAGCCTTGAGCTGAAGAGCTGAGGGACAGCGCCCAGGGCTCAGAGTTCAAGCCCCACGACCGGACCCCTTCTCCCAAAAAAAACTACCAAGAAGAATACTTCTGAACCATCTGAAAGTGATGGAACTTTGTGTCTAAATATAATCTTATTTGGATTTCCAATAAATAAGCTCTAGGAACATAGAATTTCAGTGAAGCCTCAGTTAAGATTTCTTTACAAGAGCCTTAAATAGATTCTCCATGAGCCACAATTTGAAGGACAATTATTCAGAATATTTTACCTTTTTATAAAGTCAGTTTTAATCTGTGACATTAGTTTCTAAAAGGCTGGCAAGTAGAATTATTCCTCTTAAGCCAAATGAGAGCTCCTTTGTTAAAAGCCAATACTTTATGATGTCCTGCATTTCCTTTTTCCCATTCCATATCTGTTTTCTTTTCTAAATTCATTAACCATTCTCAGAAAAGGTTGTAATAAATCCCTTAAACTACCTTCTCAACCTAGGACAACTATAGCAAAGAACCAATTGATGGCCATTATCAGAATTTTAGTGATTATTTTGCATACTGGGGCAATGGATGGTAACTTTGAGTAGATTTTCAAAGTTTATAATGACTTTGCAATAAGAAAATGTCCTTTTCAACATGCATACACATCTACCAAAAAGTTAACAGCCATGAAAAATCAGAAGCACCTACAAGAAGTAAACATAAGTTCATAGTGAAATACACAGTTCATTAGCAATATATAAATTCTCAAATAAGAAATACAAATTCTCAAACATAACTAGAATAAATTATTTCCTTCAAAATTACAATAAAGCTAAATATATATAGAACATAGAAGAAATAAGAACTCCAATTGTGAAATGATTATTACATCAAATTAATCTACCATAAAAATTAGGTTATTTAAATAATTGTATTATTGAATCAAAAAAAGATTGACAGTTTTCCTATTTGCTAACAAACATTAAACCACTGTATTTTTATAACCAGTCTGTAAGATAGATACTATTTTATTTTAGCTGTACCTGGGTTTGAGTTCTGGGCCTTGTTATTTCTTAGCTTGTTTGCTCAACTGGGATGGAATTCTGCCACTTGACCCATGCCTACAATTCTATTTAATGCTTATTATTTTGGAGACAGAGTCTCGTAGACCTTTCTGTTCAGGCTGGGTTCTAACTACAATTTTCCATATCTCAGCCTCCTCAGAGGCTGGCATTACTGGTGCCAGTGTAAGCTAGATTCTATTGATGTTCATTTATCTTTGGAAAAACCAACATGAAGCATGCATTAATATGTCTTGCACATATAGGCGTAGGTGTAGCAGAGCTGGTATTTAAAATCAAGAAGTCATATAAACCTGTAAGCAGAGTCCCTGGCTTTATTCACTTACTCTGATATCTAGTGAAAGTAATTGTCCTACAGATGCATAAAAAATAATTTTAGATACAACAAGAAATACCCAAAGTAAAGGCATTTCAGGTTTATTATTGATTTGTAAAATAAGGGACTTCCCACACAAACATTAACTTATAACCTCTAAATTCCCTTATACAAGGAAAAAGGGAAAAAAAAGTGGAATCAGGTGGACCTCATAGCAGGCACAGATTCAACAAGCTTCAGAGACCCTTTCCAGGACCAAAATTCTGTCAGAAATGAGGGAGGTTTGTGTAAGCTCTTGAAAACATTTTTTTCTTTTTTCCATTGAGTCGTTTTACACTTGAGGTTGAAATGAATGATTAGATACAACTAATACCATAATTTTGCTAACATTTAAAGATATGTTTGTAATTATTCATCTCTCAAGATCTTCAAAGCTCTATTTCAATTAGATAAATGCTTGTGAAATAAAATAAATAGTATATAATAGCTAAGATAATAAAAGTAATTTTTAAACAATAAATAAAACATTTTAAAGTAAATAAAATATAAAATAATTAAATGAAAATTTTTAAAAAATTAAAAAAATTCAGGCTGATTCTGAGCTTCCTTTGTTCTTTCTCTTTCTGAAGCTCTTCAGCATCCTGTAAAGTCCATTTTCTGTGTGTTACAAATAATCAGCTTGAAACCCTCTAAGCAAGAAACTGACATTAAGCACAATTTAAACAAAGGAAAGAAACATATACTTAGTGAAGAAATGAACACTTTCCAGGTCTTTCTAAATTTTTTTATCTCAATTATTGTTAAGAGCCTGGTGAAATAAGATTTACTGTCCTGAGTTTACTGATGTCAAAATTGAGACCTTAAGGCTCTTAAGATAACTGACCAAGAGCACTCAGCTTTAAGTTCCATCAGGACACATTTTAGATCCGCAAGTTGTTCAGTTCAGGTTCATCCCTGAGTATTGTAGCTGTTTTTTTTTTGTAATCTATTTCTCATTAACAAATTAATTCAAAATTAGCAGCTTTTGTTATCTCAGACCATTTCTGTTGGTCAAAAACCTAGGAAGAGGTCGGCCTGGTGGTTGTGGCTTAAGGTCTCCCATACTGGTTCAGTGAAGATTCTGCCATCTGCTGCTGGCCATGTATGGGATTATTTGGGCTAGTGGACATGCTTACAAGGTACACCATTCACATATCTAGCAAGATCATGCCAGTGGTAGCTATTGTCAGATGATCTTAATTGTTTTCTGTGAATATCTCCATAGGGCTACATGCCTAATTTTGTGGTTCAGGAGAGCAGCAAGATAGCAATTGCTCTATCTTTTGTAGTTTGGTCTCAAAGTCATGTCTTATCATTTATGTAATGTCTATATTAGCTGCCTAAGACAACTTTATTCAGTGAGGAAAGGATAGCAAAGGAGCTAAATTCCACAAGGTAAAAATCATCAGCTATCATCTTTGAAAATGGATCATACACTCTTACATCACTAATTTTTATATTATAAATATACCATTTGATTCATTTCTTGCACTTGTTTATATTAACATCATGAGAAGGAGACTGTTAATATTGTATATTTGCTATGAAAATACTACTACTTGATATATAGGTAATCATTGTCTAATACCTTAATTTTTTCAACATACCTGACAGAAATATTTCTAATAGATTTATTTAAGTACAGATATTTTAGAATTATGAAAATCAGGGTTTGGAGATCAATTACACAGAGGGCCAAAAATTCAAACATTTTTATTTGATAATGGAGAAGGTTGATAAGAGGAAATATTCTTAAAATGCAATAAAATGACAATTTCAGAGCATCCAAAGTACCTTGAAGCAAATGTCAATTATGATACAAAATCAAATCAGTCTATTGTTTAATACATAAACATTCACTTGGAACTAAGCTAAAAGTATAAATTGTAATGGATGCTCTTTTCTAGGTTTTTCAAAAAAAATAGCACATGCATTTCTTTGTGAAGCCAGCATTACCATCCTAACTTCAGAATTTTATCACATACTGATTCAGTTAATTTCCCTCTTCTTTATCTAGATTCCTTGAAATTCATGCATGCAGCCTATAATGTCATGCCTTCTGATTTTTCATGCTTATTTTAATGGCTTCAG